CGGCCTATAAATTTTAATAAATTCAAATTCAAATTCAAATTCAAATTCAAATAATGATGAAAAACCACCTCCTATACTTTTACCTATAAATTTTCCAATTCCTTCTTTATATTCCTGCAAGACCTCTTGAAGATCTGCTCTGCATCCAAATAGAAAAATATGTTAAGCAACTATATAATTCATGGATGTTAGATATTAATGCACAATATGTAAATAATGCAGTTTGGAAAACATCTCAGCGCATGAATTCACTTTATTTTTAAATGATAGCTGTTTAACCATTGACCCCAGAGTGATTCTAGCCACAAAGAGAGCCCCTATAGTTTCTCACTATCCAACAAATATCTTGTATCTAATACAGCTGAGGAATAATAATGCAAAGTACTTCTTAAAGTACAAAACAGCTTCCTCTTAAATTACTAATGTAAATGTATACATGACCAGCAAATTAAAAGATTATGCAATTTAATGGTAGCATATAAAACCACCATTGAAATCTCAGGCTGCAATCCTAGAGCAAAGAAGAATTTTGAGAATGAATCCTGTTGAAATTAAAGGGGTCTAGATTTGCACAAATAAGACAGCAGTATTTGAATGTAATTCTGTAACGAATGCAAAAATTATTCCTACATATGTATAATATATAAAACATACACATATCAAAAGAAATCAGATCAAAGTCTGCATTTGCCTCATCTATTATACCTACAAAGGCTGAAATTGCACTCACAGTGTTGTAAGTGAAATCTGGACAACCACAGGAAGACCTTGAATACTGTGTAGTGTATCATGGGTAAGGTGTGGTGCCGTTCCCATTTTGGTATAAAGCAGACACCCTGGAATTTCCATCGACTGAACCTCTTTCTTGCCGAGATTTGTTAGTGTCCCAAGGCGACAGCCATCAACTATTTTGCAGAGATTTAATTTCATCTTGATGAATACACCTGAGAGAACAGCAAATGATCAATAAGCAGAGCCCTTAATCATCTTGAATCAGCTTTCTCTAAGTTTAATAGTAATGATGTATTATTTATCTTACACTGATATTCCATAACATTTTGTAGCATGGAGGACATTACTATTTTCCCTGCATTCAAATAAAAGAAATGAATTACTATGCACAAGTTGTTTTCAACTCTCATAAGCACCAAGGTGAATAGACTGCTTGAAGTAGAGTCCAAAATGCATAGAAGACATCAGGTTACCTTACTTAATTTATACACCAAACCATGCCACTTATATGGACTAGAAAACAATAAATATGTATAACACTGGTACTGGACTGGAATAACAATCTGTGGTACGACTACTAAATCTGGGTTTCATGCAAAAGTCTGTATCAGCACTAAAGGGACAACAAGGGGTATATTTTCTTGCTTCTTTATATTAACATCTTGTGGTCCTCCGGATTTTTGCAACCCCGATTTGGAAGGCCTTAACTACAGCGAAGATCTCGCAATGCTGAATGCTTTAATTCCATTAAATGAAAAAGTGTTTTTAATTAAATAAAAAGGGCTTGATACTTTGCTCTATATCAATGGCTCTCCAAACTGCAATAGTGAAGAGAATATACAGTAGAAACTTTTTTTAAAGCGTATTTCGCTTGCAATGTACAGAAAAGCCAATCCAATGACCTCCAAACGTGCTTTTTTCAAAAGGCAACGGGACATTGTTCAGAACTGAATAATCTTTTTGGAAGAGAAGAGAAACATTTTCAGGGGGGGGGGGGGTTTCAAGTAAATTCAGTTGCCTTTTGAAAAAGCACCTTTGGGGTAACCGTGATCTGGATGACTGAGAATCTCTATAGCTCCAAACATGCGGCAACAATGTTTCCAGAATCAGAATCATATATGTTGAGGGATATAGAAGCCACCATTACGATACAACTGGAGGCATCGGGGTTTTTCATTTAGGGGGTGGTGGTGGAGGTATCTAGTCCTATGCAGAGACTAGATTTAAAAAAAGTAGGAGACGAAACTAGCAAGGACCGGAATTCCACGATCCGGTACCTGGTTTTAGACTAAAGCGTAAATAGCAATTGAACCACGCTCAATTACACTTACACATCAATCCCGGCACGCGACAACCCGCCGTTTCCGTTCCGGCTTTTGATTTTTTCCGTAACTCTGGTTCTCCAATGGAGAATGCGTACGTCATAAATGGTCGACGGCTCGGGTTTGATAGTAAGGAGGGAGGGAAGCGCCCACTAATGGGCGGAAATGTTGCCATGACAAAGCTTAGGGACGCCGCTCTCCGCTCGAGCGACGGAGCGGACCGACTTGGGAGTTTTGCCTTCGAACCATCGGTTTGTCGGTCCGGCTTTAAGGAAAGGAGTTCGCCTCCCAACCCGAACTGCACGGGTAACAATCGCAGTGCGAGGCAGAGAGGAAATCGAGAGGTGTCCTGTGGGCTTTTTCAATGGCGGTCGTGCGATCCCGTCCTGGGCTTTATCGTTGGCGACGCTTCAATCGGCCAGCATCGCGGCAAAAGGTAAAAAAGGAAGCCTGGGACGTCATTGCTGAAGTCGCATTCCAAACAGTCCATGCCGCCTATTCGATGGTCACATCTTTGAATAATGTTAAAGAGTGGAAGCGCTTTAAGCAAGGAAGCGGCGTACAATGTAGTCCACGACTTATGACCACAATGAAACCCCAAAATTCTGTTGTCAAGTGAGACATTTGTTAAGTGAGTTTAGCCCCATTTTACAACTTTTCGTGTCACAGTTGTTAAGTGAATTGCTGCAGTTAGTAACCTGCTTGTTAAGTGAATCTGGCTTCCCCACTGACTTTGCTTGTTGGAAGGTGTCAAAAAGGGATCACATGACCTTGGGACACCACAATGCTCATAATGTTGGCAAGCATCAGAATTTTGATCAAATTATAATGGGGATGCTGCAAAGGTCGTAACTCAAAAATGGTCCTATGTCACTTTTTTCAGCACCGGTGAACTTTGAATGGTCACTAAATGACCTGTTATAAGTCAAGGACCTACCTGAACTCACATAGTTGCCACAGGGTACAGTGAGGCCAACTGAAATTGAACCAATTCATGGAAACTCAAAGTACCAATGGTATCTATCAGGATAGATGTAATGAGAAGTAGCAGTTGTTGGGCAGTAGCATATTTCTAGTCCCGCAGGGGCTTCCTTAATTGTCTGGTTCTTGCTATGCAAAACTAGGCTCAAAGGACATTGTTGCACTGTGATAAAATTCAGGGAGTGCCTTATTACAGAAAAGATAAAATCTACTTCAAGTCAAGTTCAACTAATATGAACGCATTGATGTTGTTTTTCTTGGAGTAATACAGAAGCAGTTTTATGAGTTTTCTATGCAGCCAGTATCCGAGTTGCTTTTTTGACTTCTCAGTCTATCGTACAGCCCTGATGTCTCAGTGGCTTCCCATCTAAAAAATAATAATTAAATTTGACCCTATGTAACTTTTTGAGATCAAAGCCAGCTGTGCACTGCCATGTAAGTGAGTCTTCTTATGAATAACCACTAGAGCCCTTTGATCAAAGAAAGAAAACAGAAAAAAACATTTCTCTGTACATGCCCTAGTATGTGTGCTTCCATCATTCCTTTAAATGTTCTTGGAGTAATAACTAATATTTTTCTTCATATATTTTGAGAATATTTATGTAAAATTTGAGTTAATGTAAATCAAGACTATGCCTATCGAATAGCATTATATAAATATAGTAAATAAAACTATAGTAACTAGTTTCATTAAAGTTTTACAAAATGGGAGGTTTTATATAAAGGCATCCATAGGGATCTGTTAATTTTACTTTAATTTGATCTTTAATTGAAAATTAAAATATTTTATTCTTTAATTCCCAGCCACAGTTTGATGCTGACAGTATAGAGCACTGGATAAAGGTAAGGAAAAATAAAGTAATGTTCAGTCTCAAATATCTGAAAAAGATAACTTCTTACTCAGTAAGAAATATTGAGTAAGATTTGGTAAGATTCATTTAATCCAATGAGATTCATTTTCTGAATAATTATGAATGATACTGGACTATTAATTGCACGGATGTCAAAGTCTATTCCAGGGACACAGTGGCTTAGTGACTGACGCTGAGCTTGTCAATCAGAAAGGTCGGCAGTTTGGCAGTTCGAATCCCTAGCACCATGTAACGGAGTGAGCTCCCATTACTTGTCCCAGCTTCTGCCAACCTAGCAGTTCAAAAGCATGTAAAAATGCAAACAGAAAAATAGGAACCACTTTTGGTGGGAAGGTAACAGTGTTCCGTGCGCCTTTGGCATTTAGTCATGCTTGCCACATGACCACAGAGACATCTTTGGACAGTGCTGGCTCTTCGGCTTTGAAACAGATATGAGCACTGCCCCCTAGACTCAGGAACGACTAGCACATATGTGTGAGGGGAACCTGTACCTATACCTTAAAGTCTATTAGAATTATTATTAAAAGAAAATAAACATATAAATTTAATTATGTTGAGAAATGTGTATAAATCTATAAATCTACTGATACAACCATAATGGTGAAGGATTGGACAGTCCAAATTCATTCCCACCTTAGTAATGGAAATTTTGAGCCAGTTACTCTTTCAGCCCAATCTACTTCATAATATTGCTGTTATAAAGATAAAATGAAGGAAAGTACACTTATAAACTGCCCTGAATTCTTGGAAGAAGGTGGGATATAAATCTAATGCATGTGCGTGTGTGAACATACACATAAACACACATAATATATCTGTAATACTGTATTTCCCCGAAAATATGACCTGTCCTGAGTCTTCCAGCAGCAGCCGCTCTAGGAGTGCACTCTATGGTTTTGGGCTGGCTGCTGGAAGACTCTGTCTGGCACCCGGCCCACAACCATAGAGTGCACTCCTAGAGCAGCCACTGCTGGAAGACTCGGCAGCTGAGTTTTGGAGTTTGGAAGCCGGAGAAGAAGTTATGCTCGGAGCGCGGTGGGAGTGGAACAGGTGCTTGCGCAACCCCCCTCTCCAGTCAGGCAGAGCTCCATGCACTGACCTAGGGGGTATCCCTAATGTGCCAAGCCACGGGAGCTGGGGAGTGGGCAGAGCATCACGTGCCTTGGCACCTTATGAATACCCCTAGGTCAGTGAATGGTCCTCTGCCTGGCTGGAGAGGGGAATTGCCGGGCGGTTGCTCATGAGCGTGGTCACCTCATGGCTGCTTCGCCCCTGAGGCTGTGCCTGGCTCTTCGGGAGCCAGTTCGCAAGGGAGCAGCTGCCCGGCAACCCCAAAACAATAAGTCCTCCCCCTATAATAAGCCCAAGGCCATATTTCGTGGGACAAAAGAAAATAAGACCCTGTCTTATTTTCGGCGAAACACGGTAGGACAGATAACTTAAATTCTAACATTTTATTGGATGCTATCTTAAGTATTAAGTATTAATATGCTTCTCAGTTTCAAAAAACTATGTGGCTAACAATTTTAATATAAAATAATGCATCAATAAAAGAGATACCCTTCAATACATAAAAGGACCAATTAAAATCAAAAAGATAAAGCCAGCAGAATAAATACCATGTGCTTCCAACCTTATTGCCAATCAAAATATCTTCTCTTGCGCTGGACAGAATAAGTGGTTCTTAATAACTTTTCTATTATTTATTTTTTTAAATTCAGCGGGTGGAACAAGCCTCCGAATTTGCTGTTTCTGAAGCTTTTTCATTAAAAAAGGCATCCTATTCTCATGGACTTAATGGTCCAGTGCTGGATTTGGAAACAACAGAGCAGCTGTTAGATCATGATGAAGCATATGTAGAAGGTATTTTCTAAACATTTTGTTGTGAACTCCAGCTGATCCAAAATAATTATGCTTTTTTATTGTATTGTAGAAAAATGAGCAATAGATTACCCATCCCTAGAAAAGCAGGGATATATTCTCTCAACCCCCTATTGCAATTTTGTAATTTTGTGGGAGATGCAGCATCCCATTATTTCAAGAGATTGTGAAAATACCTGATTTATGTATGATGGTGGAAGGGAATATCATTTTAACTTTATTGACGAAGCATGGCTCTATTCAAATTGTATATGTAACTGAGGGTAGTTTTAAATGGAGACCATACTGTATAGATGTTTTTAAACTAATTTAATAATAAGATTCATACTTTCCCAATTCCACCTAGGCTTGTGAGCTTTCAAATATAAGATCAACTATAAATGATACCAAGAATTTTTAACAAATCAGAATAAAAATCTTGGATAAATCTCCTTTAGAGTTATACTGCAGAAGCCAGATTGATTTGCCTGTAAGCAGAGTTTAGATTTGGGGTGTAAAACTCCTTTTCAAATTTTAGTTGCTAATTCTGAATCTAGTAATATTTTTATTTCTTTCATCAATGCAGCTCAAGAGTTGCTTAATGACTGGATGAATTCAAAATTGAAATTGGAACTGGCAAGTGATGAAGACAATGATGTTCAACATTCAGCACCCAACTCTGTTCCTTTACAAGAGCCGGTTGCTGGCTTTCAGAAATATAAAAAATTTGATGGTGAGGCTGATTTTAAATTTATTTGAAGTATTCACATAATAGCAAAAACTCCTGGTACACTATTATAATAACAAGACTGGTAAAATTCACACAAAACAATTAAACTGAAAATAAAACATTATTGTATCTAATAATCTAAATAGTCAATAAAGCCTGTTTTGAGAAAATTGGATTGTTGTGGCATAACTAACCCCCAAAATTATTCTTTTTCCATAAAAACAGGATTGTTATAGAAGAGCCCTCCCCTTTTGTTGTATTCCTTATAGGCAAACTTACAAAAAGAGATTAAAATGTTTTTTAGAAAATGATGTAACAAATATTACTTTGATTTGGATCCAGTCTTTCTGCCCTCAGGACAATCAAGAAAATTAACTATTAAAAAAATAGCCACTCATGTTTCAAACGCTTTGCACATGTATTTTCCATTCTTATTTTAACATTCTTAAACTGAAAATCATGCTGCTGGAAAATAATATTTTGCTACTGAATTCCAGAGTTCAAAACTCCATATAATTGGGCTGTATATGGAAAGCTTTTAAGGATAGAAATAAGCGTATTTCAGCTCACAGAGCCTTATGATTTCCGCAATGGTTTCACCATTTCTAAAAAAAAAATTTAAATGTAGCTCATTTTTGGTGTTATGGGATGACTGGGAAGCACAAATAGGACCTTGGAGATGGCACATGTCGAGACTACAAGTTGCAACTCCTGATTCAGGACAAAGTTTAAAATATTGTTTTACATTCAATTTCAATATGATTTATGTATTCTAGATTTCTATGGTTATTTGGAGCAAGAAGTGGAAGGCACCACGGTACAAGATTTTTTACAGCATCTATTGCAAAGTGAAATTGTGAACAGTGGTATACTGGAAGGCCTTAAAACTAAAGCTGTCAGAGAGGAAAAGGAACCCAGAGACTTACGAATTAACATGGAACTAAGGCATAAACAGGTTAAATATATAATGTTTATGGAAAACCTTCTAAAATTCACTTTACTTCATAAATTTGTGAAGTTTTGATATTGTTTAAGTTAATCCCAAAGAGGAAGGAAAGAAGTGCAATCTGAAAATAATAAATTGAAAGTATAATGGCCTAGTTGAGTCAACTGTAATGTGGTTTGTTAGTTTTTGGCTTCCACCTACTATTGCTTAGTATCATGTGCAAATCAGATATAATGGCTTATTCAGGAAAACATGGTGTAAAAATTAATAGCATTTTTGTGCGTTCAACTTTTATTTCCCCTGATCTTCCAAAAGTGCAAAATTATGTTGTTCTGGACTGTTGAAAAGGAAAGAACAAAGGAACTTTTTTCTATCCCTTTCAACCGTTGGCTCTGCCTTCTCAAGAGCACCTGCAGAATATAAATCAAACAGTTTTCTCTTTGACTTCTTTGTCTCTCTTCACTCAACAAGAGAAGCAGGACAAGAAAGGGTAACTTCACAAGGGACAAAAGGAAGAACAAGGCTAAATAAGAAAAAGAAAACTCTTAACAGTAGCAGAGTCTGCTTAGATTCCTCAATCCACAGTTCAAAAAATGACTTCAGTCTTAGTCCATTCTTTAAGAGAAGATTTCATATCCTTATTTCAGAGGAGAGAGCCGGGGAAACTCCCTGCTCTTTAGACAAGGGTTATTTCAGAAAAGGAAGAATATAAATTTTCGGTCAAAGAAGCACCTCCATCAATGTCCTTATATCGCAGACTATTTATGATGGTACAAGACTCAGTATCTTTAGATCACGGGTGACAAACTTGATTGCAACACGTGACGTATTATAATGTATTGTGACCTTTTTTGCCTTTGCGGAGCCGGGGTGGGTGTGGCCTGTGTGTGACACATCTGGTCCAAGGCCCGCCAGCTTGATACTCCTGCTCTAGATGGTTCAATAAAAATTATTTAACTGAGGCAGGCAAATGTTGCAACATCTCCAGCCTTGCACTCATTTCTCAGATTCCAGGTATTCCAGAGAAGGCACCATTGGGTTCAACAGTTCAAGGAACGGAGAATTCAGCTAAGCCCATCTTATTTCTGTTTATCCCAAGAATAGCCCAAAGTATTCAGCCCCAAATTAAACACTGAAGGAATCGCCAATGTATAGACATCCTACTTGTAGCGCTAACATCTAAGGCAATAGTATCACAGGTTGAGGGGCAACTTCCTTACAGACCCAGGTACTCAGTGAATCAAAGGATGTTGAGGTACATCTCTTGATTCACTGTAATGCAGGACTTTTAATGCAGTCCTTGCAGTCCAGTTTGAATCAGTCATAGCCAGTAATATTATAAATATATAGTTTATTGTGTTTATAGCAATAGCAATAGCAGTTAGACTTATATGCCGGCTTCATAGGGCTTTCAGCCCTCTCTAAGCGGTTTACAGAGTCAGCATATTGTCCCCAACAACAATCCGGGTCCTCATTTTACCCACCTCGGAAGGATGGAAGGCTGAGTCAACCCTGAGCCGGTGAGATTTGAACAGCCGAACTGCAGTCAGCTGCATTTAACCACTGCGCCACCTCGGCTCTTATAAACTACTGGAATTGGGATATACACCCTCAAGGCTGCAGTGGATGCAGAACAAATGCCCGAATGAGCTGGCCAGGACTCCTGCATTCCTCAATAAGTTTTGCAGTTTTTTCCAAGGCCTTAGGCATGACAGTCTACTGGGGTTTATTACTCAAATGTTGGAAGACAGATAATCAGTTCTAAGCCTACCTCACATTGAAAAAACTATTCTAGAAGGAAAGCTATTTTGTTAAATTACTAGTAGTGGATCTTGATCTAATCAAGAACAAAGATCAGAAAAGAAAATACTTGCTCTGCTCATGAAAAGGAAAACAACAGAAGAAGAAATAAATCTTAAGTTACTTTTGCAATAGAGACATGTTATCTTCTCTTCTCGGAACCAGCATTTTGAGTCTCACTAGTTCTTCTTTCACCAACATTTGAGTGAGTTCCTTCCAGATCTAGCCAAGGTGATACACCAGAGGAAACAAACATCAATGTAATGTTCCAAAAGCCTATCCAGTAATTCTGTCCTTTCTCATTCTCTGTCTGTTTACACAGTCCCATGGGAAAAGAAAGAAGCAGGGAGCAAGGCACTGAATAGAAAACTGAATGAAAAGGGCATCTACTTCAAAGCATTACAGAGAAATAAACAAAAAAGTGAAGTGAGGATAAACCTTATGTGCAAGGACTTCAGGCATACATCCTTTACAATGTGAAAGGTCTCCCATGTCAAATAGAGTAAGCAAGGGAAGAAACATCAGATGCGTATGAAGTTCATTCTGCACTGGGATTAGATAGGAATAACTTGTTGAATGGTGCCCTCACATGGATTAGCATACAGTGAAATATTTCTCAGGGAATAAGCTGTTCGGTGAAGCAGCTAATTCAACCTTCATGTAAAATGAAGAAATCATTGACAGTAGCTCAGAGAAAAATCTATACTGACCTTTCAGGTTAAAGATCATAGACAACTTTTTTTTTCAGGCAGGAAATTCAACTCATGTTTCCATGTCCAGCAACGGAAGGGCACAACCAATAGAAAAGGCAGAGAAGGCAGGAACTAAGGAAATATTGGAGACTGTTTTGTCTTCACCTGCAAGATGGTGGGCAGCTGCAATAATTTTAATGTCCTGTAATATTCCTGTATGGACAGATGGATGTTAGAGCTGGTTTAATGAGAACAGTTCACAAGAATCCCCTATCTCTAAGAACAAAAAGAAACATTTTAAGATGAATAATACATTTATTAGACTTTAGAATTATATAAAATATATCTGCATAATAATTCTGGTGTGTTTTCTGTTTACATGATGCTAAAGGAAAATGGACCTTGGAGTGTATTTTGAACCTCAGGCTGCTAAACTAATTCATCAGGCATTGAACCTCCAGAATGGAGAAATTAAGGTCTATACCAGAAGCCGACACAGTGGAATATTTCCAGCCTCAATAGATCTATCAGAAGCCTACTTGCATATTTTGATCAGAACTTTATACTGATAGAAAAGTTAACACTCTTCTGTATAAGTCCCTCATCTAGTGATTAGAAGTTATTTGGCAATCAGGTTCAATGACTGGGCTGTGCTTTAACACTTCTTTTTGTTCTTGTTTTCCAGGTAAAAGAAAATCGTTTGAAACGGCAGCAGGAGCTTGAACTTCTGAAACAAGAAAAAGCCTTGAAAAAGTTAGCAATGTCAGAGGCACAAAAACAATTGCAAGAGGAGATGAAGAGGAAAGCTCTGAAAGCCAAAAAAGAAGAAGCAGCGATCCAAAAACAAATGGTAATACTGCGGAAGGAGTTGGGAGAAAAAAGACATCTCATGGAAGAAGCACGGAAAATGTAAGCTTTGGAGAAAAATCAGTTCATTCTAGATCCTAAAACAGAATCTGAACAACCATGATAGAGTAAATGTACTGCAACTAAATAGATGAAAGATCATCTAAAAATCATTGTGATGTCTGAGGAGTGAGGGAAGATATAAATATAAGACAGGTTAGAACATCATCTCCAAAGATGCTGTGGAGATTGATTAGCTTCCAAGTGTAATTAAATTTATTTGAGATTTGTAGACAGAAGAAACTACTAAATCTTCTTTTCCAAATCATCTCTATATGCTTTTCAAAACCACTGACCAAGTTGGTACCATGTTATATGAACTGTAAAAATTAAATTCGAAGTCAAATCTATTTTTCATGTGTATCCCTATTTGATTGCAATTGTTTTTTTTAAATTGTCGGCGTTTACAGCAGTGTATGACATTAAAATGACTGAAAATCTCTATAGTTACCTCTATGGGAGCCTACCAAAGCAGTTTTCCTTTTATACCCCTATATAATTCTTCTTTAAGAATTATTTAAGGACATATTGTGTAATACTGGCTTATGAAATTGAGAACATTGCAGTAACTAAATATATTACAATAGTGCTATAAAACGTGCTCATTTTAAATAAAAAGTATATCAAATAAGGATTGTTAACTAATACATTGATTAACATGCTTCTCTTTCTCTAATATTTTTCTCTAACCTCTATTTTACAAACTCTTTATTTTAGGGAAAGAAAAAGACACAATTTAAAAAAAATCCAGACTCTGATAGAAGTTGGCCTGCCTCCTGCTCAGCTTACCTGTCTGAATTGTAACAATGAAGAACAAAAGGAGGAGGAACAGGTCAAACAGCAGGAACTACTGAGCAAGGTCAACACTGCTGATCAGAAGGTGAGGACATTCATGATCTCGTCTTCAGCACTTTGAGATGGATTGTTGCTTTAGCTAGAATTCTGAACAGTTTTCACTGAATAAAGATGCTCAAGGTGTCATTTATGTTAAAATGAACTGAGGATAAATGGATGGATTTGAGGTTGAAATGATATAAGAGAACAGATGGATGCCAAAAACTAGAATCTGCTATGAAAACTGCTTCATGACTAAGCTTAAACATGAGGATACATACAGCACAATGTTATGTCAGCCCAGGTTTTCTTATAAACTTTTTTTCTTCTTTAAAGCAATAAAATCAAGAGAGTCATTTTGCACTTGCTAAAATGCAATATGTTTGAGTATGATCTGGTGTTGTAAAGTGCCACACATGTTTATACCATTTAAGCATGGACTTGAAAACAATAAAATAGTAAATGCGAAATAACAGACTGCAGGTGCTATATAGCATCGACTTATATTTATTAGCCACACAGCAGTTACTAATCAATAGTCATGTATAAGATTATAGTATATTTGCTATTTGAAGACTTATAGCTGTCCTGCTTTAATTTATTTTGATTCAATTAAATATAAGTTCTCACTAGGTGGTATTTTATACACATGTCTTAACTGGCCATTGTATAAGTGTGTGTGTGTAATATTTGTTTAAGCAGTTTTCCTTTTCATAAAACATGCAGCTTTATGAGTGTTCTGTTAAAATAAGTAAGGAAGTTTTAGGTCAAAGGTCAAACGAAGTGCTAGAAGTCATCTCTTCTAGCACTTGGTGAATAAAAATCTGACAAAATTTTATGCAAGGACATTGAGCTCTCATGAGAATAATGACATTTCAGACATTTAAAAATAATATTTAATTTGAAAGGATTTGTGGATGATTCTAGGCATATCACACATGCTTAAGCAGCTAAGAGCAGTGCATCCTAGATTACTTGCTGAAATGAGATGTAGGTTCTCATTAAAATGTTAGTTATGTGATCATTCAATTATGATGGCAATATATATGAAATAGCATTAAAATATTAAGGTTAACTGAAATAGATAATTGATATAGTCTTTAAAAAGAGATTTTTTTTAAAAAAAAGCAAAACCTCACCACATATGAGTTTGGGCATGGGGGTTGAGAGCTTTCTAGTTCTTTAGATCTACTTTTTAAAAATGCCAGTTTCTACTTTTTCAGTATTGGCAATATTATGGAAAACATAGAAAAAGAAAGTAGTAAACAAAAGAAATGAAACACAAAAGAGAAAAGAAAACCTAGATTACACTAATACCATTTGCTATACTTCTCAATACCTTTTAAATCTTGTGTTTCGTACCATTTCATACATTTATATTTTATGCATTTACTTTTTATCAACTTCATCCTCCCCTGGCTTTCTCAAGTCTGCTTCTCAACCTTCATATATTTGTTTTGCAAACATCAGTCCTCATGCTCTCTGCACAACATATCTAGTATATTTCTTACATACTTTTTTATTCATTCTGACATATCTAAGATTCCCTTCCACATACATGTACAGTAACAAATAATTACAATTTATGAAGGGAGCTACAGTTGTCAGTGAACATTGAAGGTATTTAGTGTAATACTCCAATATTTTACATTATCAGAAATGTAAATATGATACAATGGAACATGGTTACTTGATTCTCAAATGTAGTGCCTACGGAAATATTTCTCTGCCTGGTACAAGTTTATTCTGGACCTCAGAATTAAAATGGGGAAAGCAAGAGCCCTTGCGGACTGGAAGTGCCAGCTGAAGATTTTGCGAGCTTGGAGAGATTATTCATGGTCTCACAAACTGGAGAAGGAGACTCAAAAAATGGAAAACCAGCTTCGGGATCAAAATAGGTAGCAATTTTAACACAATTCCTTCCTGTGAAGTTGAAAGCTACTCTTATGTTTGGTTTAATTATTTCTATTTTTGTTTGTTTATTGGAGTACTTAAAAAAAAAGAAAATATAAGATGCATCTCCAAAGCCATTGTGATGGTATATTTTCAAACTTTTCAGCAAGGCTATTGGTGGTAGATTTAATACTATGATTATTAAAAATTTTCAAAGCTACCCTCCCCTCCCCCTCTTTCCCCAATCTTTATTTATTTCTTGGCTCTTGCAAACATGAGAATGGCCCTCTAATTTTGATGAGTAACCAACAATTCCTGGATGAATCTATTATTTCATTGAGTTCCAATAAATTACATTAGGAATCCATTAACCCAATGTAGGGAAAGCAAAGTACATTTGATCTGTCCCAATCAGCAGGTTGCATCATGGCCGCAATCATTATTGAATAAAAATGTGTTAGAAAAAAAATTTCAATAGGCTTGTGAAAGGCCTAATGGTTTCCCTTAGAAATATGCTGACATGGTTCTTACTAACAGCAATTATTTTATGCTTGACCCATATTATTGGTAATATACTAGAAACTACAAAAGCAGAACAATATATTTATCAAAATAAGTCATTACAAGTGAAATACACTATACTTTTTTTGTCTGAGGGCTGCATTCCGTTTTAATTTCCTCTGAGGACTGCAACAGCCATGGTTGCTGATACCAAGATATTTGGAGGGCTGAAAGTTTTGGGTGGAGGTAGAGACCAAATGGATGCAAGACTTAAGACATCCATTTTATCGCTTAAGCTCTTATTATGTAAACAAGTCAGTTTTGCCTACTGCAAATACCACATCCAGTAATGCATGCTCAACTCTTTTATAAATAAATAAAAGTCAAACAGTTCTATCAAGGATTCTAAACTAATGTTAAAAAATGTCTTAATTTAGGAAAAACCAGCTGGCTATAGATTTTAACCGGAAATGCATTTTGCGTCATTTCTTTGCTGAATGGCAATGCTGGAGCCGATTAGAGATGGAAAAGAGAGAGCTAGAAGCGAACAAAGAAAAAATGAGGAGAAAAATGGCAAAGCTCTTGGAAGAAGTATCACTGGGGCAACTAACGGCAGCTTTCTCAAGATCTACCAATAAAATCATTGAGAAAGGAGTTACCCAAGATAAACCTGCAAGTGATACCGAGGTAAACTGTATAGAGGTTAACCAGCTGGCTGAAATCCCGTGTGTTCAGAACAATCCCACAACTGCAAAATTGGACAGAGAAAATTCCTACTCTCCAGGGATAAGTAAAAAATGCAACCTCCATTCACCAAGTCAACCAAAATGCCCATGGCAAATCACCAGAAAACATGCTGCTTTGAATCTTCAGGACCATGCCAGGTTTGGGAATGAAACAAAGCATTCCCTGCAGCATCTTGATCTAGCACAACAAAAGAAATCTTCCACTATTTGGGGTCCCCTGGAACAGCAACGCCTGATTGAAGAGCAGCAACAACAGCTTCAAGAGCAGCAAGAGCTGATCCGTAAACTTCAGGGCCTTCAGAGGGTACGCACTGCTTGGGAGGAGGTTGAGCAAACTACAGCTGCTACCACGGCACTTAACATTAACACTCCAAAAATTAAGGAAGAAAAGCAACTGAGAGAAAATCAATCAAATTACAAGAATACTAAGCCTGTAAGGTATAATAATAATATCACTGGGCTTTTGTTACCTAGTAGCTAAAAGAATGTGCTTGGAGCAGCACACTTCAAAATAGCACTATGATGCATGACTCCGCCACACTCCCCTCGCCCCCTTGCATGCGCGTGACCCTCCTGCACCCCATTTTGAGGCTAGCAGGCTCCCTGCGGTGTGTCCCCCCCCTGCACATGCGCACGTGTCTCTTGCATGTGTGCAGACCCCTGAAAATCAGCTGGCCGGCATGCTGAGCTGGGTGACAGCTTGAGTGCTGGCAGAGAGGGCTCCACGGGCAACCTATGGCACGCCATCATGGGCCTATAGTCTACTATTCACAGATTTTTTTTCTATTTGAAATATTTGTTTTGTAGAATCTTTATCCCAAGCCCAAGACCTTTCTGTTCAATTGTCTTTTTTTCCCCTCTCTCCTACACTTTGGTTTATTCAGGTCAGAAGTTCAGCAGCCAGTCACTCATAAGAGAAGGACTCTGAAAGCATTAGTCACACCACATCCCTTGCTTAGAGGTATGTACCTAAATGTCTGGATGGCTATAAAAAGCTGTAGTAAAATATATGATTTTTATAATAGAAATATGCATATTATATTATAGCACAGGAACAGTCATGAAATGTTTAATAAATATAGCTGAACAGCTCATTTTTTATTGGCCTTCTTGGCAAACTTTTTCAATTCCTATGTGTGAATTATTTGAAACCCTAAATTTTGTGGTTTTGTTTGAATTAAAAAAATTAGTGGTTCTTTTTTTTCTGGGCACCTTGTTGAATAACATTTTAACTGGATAGGGTGAAGTCACTAGCATTGTGACAGTATAATATGATTCATACACTTTACCTGACCACTGAAAAATAATGCCAGTGTATTTCTACTCAGAAAGAGTAGAACAACTACAGCAAGAAATAATTGTAAGTACACATATTTCTTCCTGAAATATACACATAAACGTACTTACATGTTTTCTTTAATTAAGTTGATGGTTAATCAGAACTACATTGCAATACATGTAATGTGCATTATAATCAATAATTTGTTTTTCTTAATGTGCTATATTGTAAGTCTAAGTATTCTTTATTGTTCGTATCAAATTACTTATTAGTTATTAATAGTCTATAAGACCAGATAAGACAAGAGGAAAAGTATTCTTGTGGTTAGTTATGAAGAATGGCATAGACCTGTCCAACTTCTTTAACTGGTAAATAAATTGCCTAAAAAATACATGTAGTCTTTGACAATCTTTGTTCAGTGACCTCTCGGAGGGAGGGTGGGAGGGAGGGAGAGAGAGAGAGAGAGAGAGAACATATTGAGCTAGTTCGATATATATGGATCAATCAGAAACAAAATTTAAAGCAAAACTGCATTTTTCAAGTCTCAAATTTAATTTATCCTCATCATTGTACACCTTCTGAATGTTTAGCTATGGAAGAAAGAGCAGTTCAACGAGCAGAACGAAGGAAACAATTGGAAGAAGCAAAAAAAAAGCGAGAAGACGAAAAGCTGGCAAGTAAAACTAACTTCTGACTTAAATATCCAGCAGGTAGACAATAATGTTTAAAATACAAACATGAACTTTTACTTATTAGCCTTTTATTAGTTTAATCAAATTTCTGTGGCCATCTAGTCAAGGAAATTAGGCAGTAAATATAAAACAAGTTACAAACCACTTAAAACCAAAATAAAACCACATCCAAGCTGAGGCACCTATAAAAATTTCAGTCTCACTCTATAAAACATATACACATGCCAGAGCTTTAATAAATTAATACCCTGGCCCCTGAAGTTGGCTTGCCTTAATAACATAACAATAAAATTTTATACTGAAGAGCAGTTTTATAGAGGAGGAGACATTGCATGCAAGCAAGAGAGCATGTTAGGGGAGAAAGGCACTTCATCTTTTTCTTCTTCCCAGGATTTTGTGAGAAGATGGATACAATAGAAAGTGTATTAGTTGCATCTAAAATCTCTCTATTTTTCTTCAATAAAACAGCAAACAATTTTGCAACCCACTAGTTTAGGCTTTAAAAATAAAACTTTTTACCTAACTAGCTTACATCTCCAACTAACAAGTTATAATGGTGGTTATTTGTTTTTGATATTTACATTTTACAAGTGAAAACCTGCTTTGAAATGTGTAGGTTTCCTGACGAATTACTGCTGGTAAAGCTATTCTCCACCATTATTGAAAAGGATTCTGAATAAAATATCATTTTAACCTCTTTGTGTGTAAAACCCATATCATTATTTAGGTAGGCGTCTGCTTTGGAACTTCTGTATTTCTTTGGGACATGGATTTAAATATGATTTGGCTTGTCTTATTCTATACCATCCTAAGGCTGAGATGGAAGCCAAAGAAGAAGAACGTCAAAGACAAGAAGCAGCAGAAAAAGAGGCTAAATTAGAGAAGAAGCGAGAAGAAAAGAAATTGCAGCAAATGGTGAGTGGAAGATTGTGCTACCAGATCTATTACTGATAAAACACTAGTTTAAACTGGCTTTTCAATATGGTTTTGTACTGGCACCAATCTAATTCAAGCAGTGTCAAATCTGCCAAGGAAAAATAATAATTACTTTCACTATTTCAGAAAAAAATATTTTAAACACCCCTATATCAAAGCCATATTAATTGCTGTAACATAAAGTAATAGCTCCAGTCCTGTGTTTTAGAATTAAACTAGCCTGGCATTGTTGCTTAAAATGATTCAAAGCTTCTGAATGAAATTGTATTCAAACAGTTGGTGGCAGATTGGGAGGAATATTGAGACTGTATGCCCTCAAATGAACCTCCTGAGGTATGAATGAGTGACTTCTTTGCTACTGTCATTTGATGCCCTTGCTCTTTCAATCTCCTATCTAGGAGGGAAGGGCAAAGCAAGTGAAAACTGCTGCTACTGCTAGTTGACTTTTTTTGGTTAAGTCTTAGAGCTGACAAGCGTAAACATGTACATAGAGAAAGCAACAACAGACGCAGAGATAAGGCCTGGAAAATCTGAAGTTCAAAATGGTAATGCTTGAGGGTTTGCAATTTCCCAAACGTGATATTCATGAAAGTGCAGTGGCCATTCTGTGTGTACAGTCCCTAATCACAAAAAGATGGCCTATTTAAAATGATGCCGATTGGCATGAAAGAAATGCTTTTGGCAATGACCTTTGGAGCTATGTAGATGACCACAACAATATCTCCATTTTCTACAGTTCAGAAAGAAATCAACAACTGAGCACCTGAGTTTTGACCAATAAATAGTAATATTTTTAATGAACTGGTCAAATTTTGCTAAACTCTGCTTCTCTAATTTATTAATTACAGAAAGAACTGGAAAAACAGAAAAGGCTAGAGAGAGAACAGCAACTTTTTTCCAAAGCTGAAGACCATTACATTATGGTTCTGCTCAAACAGGGGTTAAAGGCCTGGAAAAAACTTACAGAGCGATCTGAAGAAAACATGGTGGTAAGAACTAGACTAAAACTCGCCATCTTGAAAAAGAAAGTTAGTTTCATGTGCTGAAGATGAATCCTCTGCTATTTTCCAGTGTGTGAAGTGTTGGTGAGTGAAAAGGTTTTTTTCATCAGATCAGGTTTCTGAGTTGTGTTGATACTGCATGGACTAACATAGCAAAAAGGAATCATTCTCTAAGCCTAGTTTGCCTTGGTGGAAAAAGCTTTAAAAAATTATGTGGGTCCAACAAAATATCTGAAGACAAGTTTAAAAGAAAGGGGAAAATATAATAGCAATCGAAATTGAGTGTTATGGTTAGCATCCCCAAAAGTTCTGGCCCAAAAGAAAATGTCAGACTGTGACAGTACTTGCAGAAATGGCTTGTATAGCAGGGGCAATTTTTTCCAAAACTGGTGCTAGCAGCTCATTTACATTTAAGTTAGTGTTTAATTAACAATATATTTTGAGCATTTTTTTAAAAAAAATATCTGAACTACCTACAAATCAGGAATATGTATGAGCCCCCTGAGTTCTAGGCCTATTTCCAGCTAAAATAAGTGGAGATGCAACTGTGCTGTCAGACTATAAAGTTGAAATGAAGAAAAAAGAATGTGCTTGCTCTGGGAATCTATATAGCTTGGTCATTGGACATAATAAAAAGGGCTCGATCAGTGATGTTTCAATGACCCAACCTTAGTTACAGCAATAGCAATAGCAGTAGACTTATATACCGCTTCATAGGGCTTTCAGCCCTCTCTAAGCGGTTTACAGAGAGTCAGCATATTGCCCCCAACAATCTGGGTCCTCATTTTACCCACCTCGGAAGGATGGAAGGCTGAGTCAACCCTGAGCCGGTGAGATTTGAACAAAATTCATTTAACAGATGTCTCACTTAAAAATAGAAATTTTGGG